CCGCCAACCTCGACCTCATTAGGAGTCGCCTCAACAGCGCGCTCCAGCAGAGGAAGGAGCTGGAGGAAATGAGCACGCAGCTGGCAGAAAGGCGGCGCGCCGCAGCGGCGGCGGCAGCTGAGGCGACGGCGGCGCGTGCCTGTAGTGGTAACAATGCTGGCCAGCAGCAACAGCGAGTTCTGAGGGCAAACCAGCGTTACCACAAACGGACGATCTACACACCCAGCTCCGTTCCTGGCGAGTTGTTGCCACTCTCACCCGGGGTGGTCTCTGTCTCTCACACCTCGTCCCCGTGGCTGCGCCCGCATGATCCCGAGGAGGGCAACCCGATTCCTATCGCCACACGCCTGATCGGAACGGAGCGCTTTGTCCCGTTTGAGGCCCTTATGCAATTTGTCTTTCACCACACCATCGCACTGCTATGGGGGAAGACGGGCATCCATGTCGAGACGCTGCTGCGGCTGCTGGAGCGCAACCTTCGACGGTTGCGGCCATTCCTGACTCACTACGCGTACCTGCGGCAACTTCCGACCACCACCGCGCCCATCGCCTCTACCGTCATCAAGACAGTGCACACAAAGTCGCCTGCAGGGTCTTTGTGTGGGTCTTGCCCGTCGTCGCCCTCTGCAGGCACCACATCAGAGCGGGAAAGGCACATGGAGAAGAAGAGTGAGGAAGAGGAGGAGGAGGAAGAAGCACCGTTGGGGTTGGAGCGGCAACTCCAGGAGGCTGCTACGGTGTTCACGAAACTCTCCCTCATGGATGCATTGAAGCAGCTGAACGGAATGAGCGTTGAGGTGGTGCCGACGCGGCTGCTGCTGCACGCTGTGGTGAATGCCTTTTCTGATGTGCTGCTCATAGGAGGAGGCGGAGGACAGTCTGGCGTGGCCTCCTCTGTGCGTTGATGCTTAGGCGTTTGCCCCGCTAAGGGCTGAATTCTGTTTTTTTTTCCCCGTTTTTGCCCCCAAAAGGCCCTTTGCTGTCTGTTGCATCTATTACTTCGTGTTATCACTATGGTTTTTTTTTGCTTTTTGTTTTATTTTTAGGGGAGGGGGGCTAGTTTAGAAAGAGGAAATAGGTAGCGGGGAGGAGGACTGCGCAAGTAGCGGCGTGCATACCGCGAAAGCACCCTTGCACAAAGAGAAGAATCCTCCCCACTGTGCACTAGCTGACTGGGAACAACGCATCCGATACCGTGGAGAAGGAGATGGATCACGGTGTCATCGGAAATGTCCTTGGTGTCATCTTCGTTGCGCTGTGGTGCGTGGTTGCCTTCCTCTGCTTTTCCCGCATCCACCCGCTGCTCGACGACCGCCACCACCTGCTGGCGTCCCCGCTGGTGCCTGTGAAGGTCTGCATTGTGACACTGCTGGGCCTTGAGGCCATCGCGTACGCCGCGATGGGCGAGCTGGAGCTCTTCTTCCCTGACGCGCCCTGGCGGCTGATGCCAGCGTATGTATTCCACATCACCGTGCAGCTTTTTCTGCGGCCGGCGGCGGTGGTGCTGTTCTGTATCGTCGTGTCCACGCCGGCGGCGTTGTACGGCTGTGCGAGGCGCACGGCGCCCCATACGCACGCCCAGCGCGACGTCACAGCTACACCAGTGGCAGTGGCGGCGGCGGCGCCCGTCAACGGCAGCGCAGCCTTTCGTTCGTCTTTCCTGTGCCGTGAGGGAACACGCGGCATCGACGACCACGACGACGATGGCTACTCGGTGATGGACTGCGGGGGGCGTGGGGACTACACACGATCAGGCGCCGAGGAGCGATGCTGCACGTCCGTGACAGATGTCGCGGATGTACAACTTATGTACACCGTTCCTGGTGAGGATGATGAGGATGAGGAATGCCGTGCTCCTGTTGCGATGACTCCACGGAACGGACCGCACAGAAGTGGTGTTCGTTCGCCTTTGCAGCTGGACTTTCTCACGCGAAAGATAGTTGAAGGTGACGACAGTGAAAGCCAAATTGCCCGGCAGAAGCTGATGATCTGGGAGGATAACTTGACCATCGTGGACCGCAACCTCGACGAGAACGAGCGGCACCATAGCAGCGGCAGCACAGTACCAGGCATGTCGCAGCCGCAGTTAATGACGACGATGGAGTGTTGGGAGATAAGCGCCGTCACATCTGGTTACAGCTGGAAGGACAGATGCGTGCAGTGCGGCAGCACACTGTTCCGCTGGGTCTTTGGCCGCCCCCCGCCAGAGGATCTCGCAGATGAGCATGAAAGTTTAGTGGAGCGGTGGTCGCGTCAGCTCTTGTGGCGCGTCGCACTACGACTTCGACTGTTCATCCTCTTATGGGTATTCTTCTTTTTACTGAGCATCGTCTTTGTGGAGTGCGCGTTGAAGGAGGAGCTGCGCAGCTGCCACGAACGCACCTCTGAACTGGCGGTATGCCGCAGCATCGGTTTGGGCGGGGCTGCGCCGCGGCTGCATCTCCCGCGCACGCTTAGCATTCTCGTGCTCATCAACAATGCGCTGCTCCTTCTCTTTTGGGCAATGTGCGGTGCCGAGTGTCTTAGTCGCATCGGCAACGTTCTAACAAAGCAGAGTTTTCTTCGGACATACCTCATTGGTGCGTTGTTACTAGCGGCGCTCACAATGTATGAGTGTCTGCAGCTCTTTGATGCGCTGCGGTATAACGGACTCGTGACGGTGGTGATTGTGTCGCTGAAGAACGTGTGCGACGGCTTCTTAGTCTTGCTTCTGGCGCTGCGGCTTGGGACTGCCAGTCGGCGGATGCCGCAGTGGTACACGCTGCTGGGGTCACTCTTCCTGCGCCCCACCGCCTCCGCGTGGCTCTGCGAGAGGCGCCGCAACTAGTGGAGGAGCACGACGGCTGCGCGTGTGTGTGGGGGGGGCTGGGGGGAGAGAAGAGTGCCGCTCACATCCGCCATGGACGGCGCGGGTGGGGGATGCGAAACACGTCGAAAACACAAAAGGCACTTGAACTGAGAACGACAGAAAAAGGTCTAGTGCGCAACTGTTTCTGTTTTTGTTTTTGTCTTCTTCTTTTGTTTGTTTGTTTCCAACAGTCTTTATCTTTGTTCTCCTTCGACGGTAAATCCCCCACACGTGATTTCAGTGGAGCCACGGGGCTCCGGCAAGGGAGGGGTCTGGAACGGGAATTCGCTCGCGAGACAGTTTTTGACGCGTCATGACATTGTTGTTGTTGTTGTTGTTTTTCTTCTGTTGTGTGTCTTTCTTTTCTTATTGCTGTTGGTGTTGAGGATTATTACTACGACTATTATTATTTTGTGCGTGCGTGGGGGGGGGCGCGCAAAAAGGGTTGAGAACCAACGGCGTGTAAAGTTGGTATAAGCGGAGGGAAAGAGGTGTTGTGGTAGAGCGAATGAGAGGGGGGGGAGAGAGAGAGGGAAGGAAAAGAAAAAACGCGAGAAAAGTGAGGAGGAGGACATAAAAGGGACAGGATCCGGTGAGGCACTCCATTTCTGCGCCTACTTGTGCGCATGCTAACTGCCTTCACGGGCCTGGATCCCTCTGTAGCTGTGTGTGTGTGTGTGGATGGGCGTGCGCCACGCCCACTGCTATTGCTTTCTTACCTTGTGATGTGCACAAGGCTGTTTGTAATGTGTCATATTATATATATATATATATATATTTATGGTGGTGGAGTGCTGGCTGTGCGCACTGTGTGGTGCGGGGCCCCACTGCAGCGGCGCGGCGGCAGCACACACGCGCGCAGGCACATGGCTGTGTGTCCGCAGACGTGCGTGGAGACGTAAGTATGCGCGCATGCATCAATACGCGTATAGCACCGCCCCGTCGGCCCGCTTGACGCACCCCACGCACACATTCACCTGCTCACACAATTCTTTCCTTCTCTCGCACTTGTGTCTTTCTTTGTTTTCGTTGTGCGCCCTCGCCGCAGAGGAGGGAGAGACCCCTTAAGCCCCTTGTTTTAAAGCTAGAGCACATCAAGAAGAGGAAAAAGAGGAACGGCACGCACAGGAAGCAGGCAGAGAGAGAGAGAGAGAGGAAAGGTATATTTTTCGTCTTCGTTTCCCTTGCCCAAGACACAGGAGGGAAATCAAGACGACAGGGATAAAGACACTCTCGGCCGTTGTAGAACACTTCACACCGTCGCTAGACTCACCGTGATTGCACCAACCACCAACACACACAAGGCGGTGCATACATAACATACTCACACCAAGAGGAAGGCAGGCGTCATGGACAACACGTTGAACACGGTCAACCCGCTGCGCGTGGGGCTTCAGCAGTACACCGCCGGGCTCGCAAATGTCGCATCCAGCAACAACACCAAGGCCCTCAACAGCGCCCGCTCGACAATAACGACAAGTCACTCGAACAGCGCCCGCCGCTCCGGTAGTAAGCGCGACCACGACACCGCCACCTCGACCGACGTGGGGCAGCAGCAGTCGAAGGGCGGTGCCGCAACAACGACGGATGCGACTTACGCTGCTCCAGCTGGTGGCGCTAACCGCGTAGTCGAGGTGCAGCCGCCTCCCAAGAAGAAGAAGGTCACCTACGCTCTTCCGAACCAGAGCCGTGAGGAGGGGCACTTCTACGTTGTGCTCGGCGAGGACATCGACGTGTCGACGCAGCGCTTCAAGATCCTGTCGCTGCTGGGCGAGGGCACCTTCGGCAAGGTGGTGGAGGCGTGGGACCGCAAGCGCAAGGAGTACTGTGCGGTGAAGATCGTGCGCAACGTGCCCAAGTACACGCGCGACGCGAAGATCGAGATCCAGTTCATGGAGAAGGTGCGGCAGGCCGACATCGACGACCGCTTCCCGCTGATGAAGATCCAGCGCTACTTCCAGAACGAGACGGGGCACATGTGCATCGTGATGCCCAAGTACGGCCCGTGCCTGCTCGACTGGATCATGAAGCACGGCGCCTTCAGCCACCGCCACCTGGCGCAGGTCATCTTCCAGGCGGGCGCCGCGCTGGACTACTTCCACACGGAGCTGCGCCTCATGCACACGGACCTGAAGCCGGAGAACATGCTGCTGGAGACGGGCGAGACGACGGCGGACCCCGTCACGCGCAAGACAACGCCGCCGGATCCGTGCCGCATCCGCATCTGCGACCTCGGCGGCTGCTGCGACGAGCGCCACAGCCGCACCGCCATCGTGTCGACGCGCCACTACCGCAGCCCCGAGGTGGTGCTGGGGCTGGGCTGGATGTACTCCACCGACATGTGGTCGTTGGGCTGCATCATCTACGAGCTGCACACCGGCAAGCTGCTGTACGACACGCACGACAACCTCGAGCACCTGCACCTGATGGAGAAGACGCTGGGCCGCCTGCCGCCGGAGTGGGCGGGGCGCTGCGGCACGGAGGAGGCGCGGCAGCTGTACAACTCAGCGGCGCAGCTGCGCCCCTGTACCGATCCGAAGCATCTCGCCCGCATCGCACGCGCCCGCCCCGTGCGTGAAGTCATCACGGAGCCGCTGCTGTGCGACCTCATCTATGGGCTGCTGCACTACGACCGCCAGAAGCGGCTCACAGCGCGGCAGATGACGATGCACCCGTACGTCCTCAAGTACTACCCGGAGTGCCGCCAGCACCCCAACTACCCCGACAACCGCCCGGGCCTGCGTCCCACGCCGCTTATGTAAAGTCTGCGGGGATGAATGGTGGGGGGGAAGTGTGAGGAGTTGGGCAGAAAACTGTTGATTGTGCTTGAATAGTGAGTAATGTGCACTATTTTTTGGTGGTTTTTTTTTTCCTCGTGGAGAGGTCGTTGTTGCGGTGGGATTGGCTGGTGGAATTTGGGCGTATCATCACGTCATTTACTTGTCTGTTGTACCGCCATGTTCACGCACACACTTATGTAGATGAATCTGTGTGTCAGAGAAGAAGAACTGTTTAGAATATGATAATAGACCGGGTGATTTGTTGTTGTTGTTGTTGTTGTTGTTGTCGATGATTCTTTTCCTCCCACCGCCGTGGCATGGTGTGCTGCAGCTTTGCATCACAGAAGAATTCTGACAACGTGTGGGAATGTGGATGCGAGGTGGAGGAGCGAGAA